AAAAAAAAAAACAACAATAAACAAATAAATAAAATAAAGACTGAGCAAAAGGAAAGGGAAAAAAGATGGGACGATCGAAGGAAAAAATGGAAAAAGAAAAAAGTGAAAGAAACAATAAATAAAATGAAATGAAACGAAGATAACGAATTAGAGAATAGAAAGAAAATAAAGATATACGGAAATAACGCTCACGCTGTTTGGCTGGATAAAATATCTGAAATATGAAGTGCGCGCTGATTGTCTGGCTACCGATATTGGTGCGTTAAAAAATACACACGTTTTACTCGTCGTTTACATTTATTAGATCACGTTAGAGTTCTCTTTAATAAAGGAAAGATTATAATTTAACGATAAAACAGAAAACGATTGATGCAAAAGGAAAGCAAAAGACACAGAAATAATTACTTACAAAACGATGTGTAGCTTAAGACGGTCGACGTTGAACTGAAAACAGACATTATTCGTAGTGTGACAATGTTTTCCCAATTCAGCGTGACAAACCTCTGGGGGAATGAAGAGCTATTGTTTTGAAACTCGTCGGGATATCATCGTTATTCCTTTCGTATCCTTTGGGATACTCATGAATTTTTCGAAGAGTAAAAACAAAAGAAAATGAATCCCCTAGAGGTTCGTCACGCTGAATTGGGAAAACATTGTCACACCACGAATAAGGTCTATTACTTAATTGAACTGAAGTGAACTTAACTTAGTATAAATTTTGTACATATTTAAGGTATRAATACAAAGATGAAAAAAGCGCAAGGGAAAAATGTGTAAATTCCAATCTAGCACTAACCGAGTTTATATCAGAGATTTGGATTGGTTAGGAGTAGCGTTGTTATAATGTAATAACGAGAACTTATCACGGTGGATCGTTTCGGGGAAATCTCGTACCCAGAGCCTGCGTTTCTCCTTACCTGCAGCGAAGAACGAGGGCTCCGGCATAATTCATTTTTACGATACCAGGATTTATTGGACTTCCGATATAAGAGCACATGCGTTAAMAAACTTGCCCAAAATAAACAAAAAAATCTGTTTTTAAGCATTGGTTAAAAATGCGCATGCTCCAAAAATGAATTATTCCAAAGCCCGGGGAAAAAATAAGCTAGACAACTGGGCCCGGTTGTACGAAGCCTAGATAGCGCTATCCGATTGATAAATCTTATTCAGTGGATAACAGCTGCATCGACTTATCCACTTAATAAGGATTTATCCGCCGAATAGCGATATCATGGCTTCGTACAACTGGGCTCTGTACGTTTGCGCATGTTTTGTGTTTCAGTTTTTTCGCTTCATTAACAGTGATTAAACTCATCATTAGTAGATGAGCTTGGCTTTAGATGCTTGTTCAGTGGAATGAGAGGGGCCTGGAACATAAAATCAGTGCTTGGGAGGAGAAGGACAGGGAACAGGGACCTCCCACCGAAATGAACCAAGCACCAGTCCACTCCAGCAACAAGCGAAAAACGGGGCCTAGCATAACTAAATTTAATTATTTAATCAACCCGACTTGAGTCTTTTACATACTAGCTAGAGATACGAAATTATGACGAAACTTAACAGCAATACTTGAGCTTAACAAAGGCTGTCAAATTACTTAGACAATGTGAACACAGTCTAAGAGTGTTATATGAGAGGGTGAATCTAATCACTGTCTATTCTCTACTTTCACATCCCCATAATGCCTTGAGTCTTTGGGGGGTAACTAATCAAAAAACTGTCCCAAATTGAAAGGTTACTTAATTGAATTTATACTATACTTGCTTTTATCTGTACAATACTGATTATCAGTTTATTCCAAGTTATTTTTGCGTGTACAGGTCATCAAGAGTTTTGGTCTTACAGAAAATGTATTGACTTACGAAATTTGTTTTTTAATTTTCCTTAAACGTCTTCAAGCTTCTATCTTTTTCTGTTTTTTACTTCTTCATTTTATATTTGGATACCAAACAAGGTATTGTCAACATTGTCTAATCAGTCTTCAACAAAATAAGTGGGTTTTTACCCTCTGGTTACCCCCCAAAGAAGCAAAGCATTATGGGGATGTGAAAGTAGAGAATGATAGGTGCGGGGATATAGCCGCTAAAGCTTGTGCATGTGGTCTAATGTATATCGAGGAGGCATCACTCGTCCAACGGCCTAGCGCTTGGATAAGATGGTCTTTGTGATTATTTAAACACTGACATAAGACTAACCCAGTATAAATGAGTCTGTAATAACAGAAAGCCAATATGATGACGTCACTAAATTATTCCTTAAGAAATTTMGAATTTTGTGACATTTTCAGAAACTGCAATAAAAACAGCAATGACTTTATTGGATATACAAGGTTACTGGAAATCTAGTCGGGTTCGCAATCTGGTCCAGACTTTAGGATTTTTGTGACATTTTCAGAAACTGTATGTAGAAATGTAACAYAGTTTGGAATTTTAGAGCGATAGGTGGCAAAACATCTGAGATATATAGGTAACTTAGTACTAAAATATACCCATTCACTTTCTCTTATTTTGGGCAGGATATGACATGATAAGAGAAAATAATTGTATGGAGATTTTTGGAGCTAAGTTTCCAATTTCTACACAACTATGTAGGCAGTGTTGTGTTCTCTTCAAATACGAACATTTCAAAACTAATTAGCAGAATTTGGAATTTGATGCAGTCATACTCCGGCAATCTATCATCGGACACAGCTGGTATTTGACTAATTCGAAAACGGTCGATTGGGCCTAACCCTGGGTAAATAAGTCTGTAATGATTATGAAACACAGCGATATTTTAAGAATTCAAGAAAAGTTCTATTACTTAGCATATATTCCTTTAAATCATGGGTGACTCAGGTCATACTATCTCCGAAGTGTAGTGGCTCATAAGCATGATAAAGTGTAGACAGATCACCAGGTGATGTGACATCGAGGGCCTGATAAGTATCTGGTGCAGGAGCTGGTTGGTTGGTATTCAAAGACTGTCTGTCAGGAAGTTCATAATCTGCATCCATAGRTGACTGCTGAGTAACAAATGCTGTTCCAGGTGCGTCGCTTTGTTCTTTGGGTGCAGGAATGACATTTTGTTCATCTGTTGTATGCGAAAAAACACTTAATTCTTCGTTATGTCTCTCCTAAAGAAAAAAGAAAAAAGAAAAGAAAAGAAAAAAAGAACAATGACAATCTACTTCCAGTTTGCGCTTATTATTTTTCTATTTCAAAACACGCGTCCTTCCCTTTCCTCAAGTATCGCTTCTTTGTTCCTGCCGGTGCTGGCAAAACACGGCAAATGTAGCAAGAATGACAGGTTATATTGAATGGGATAAGAGTAGAGAACAACTGACCGTCAGACGTATTCCGGCAGCCATTGGCAGACTTAATCTCAATCGGTGTTTATATTAATCCCGAAGGCTATTTTATTTCAACGACTAGCGAAACGTGGCTAATTTAAAATAGAAAACGTACATAGTTCACATAAATCACCTTAACTTACCTCTAAAGCAATATTAGAAAATGCTGAGATCCCATTTCTGGAACTGGTTAAAACAAAATGTGAAACAAACAATGCAAACTAAACGACTGCCGGAAATGTTCGTTTACCTCGCTCATTATTCTCTGGGAGCAACGACATGACTTAAAATCCCTTGAGATATAAATAACAGCCGCCATGTTGGTTGATCTAACAAGAGAAGCTAATGAAAAATGCTTCGTTATCGTCGACCAATATGCCGGATATGATATAAAATGCACCACAAGAATATGTTAGAAAATATATACTTTAGACTTTTGAAAATGCTTTACAAATCTTGCACAAAATTCTGAAATTCAGTGCCTCTAATGCGGCCTATTGCGTGCATAAGGACGTGTTTCTTAGTGTTGTTAAATGGGAGGGGTGGGGGGACCAGTACTTAAAAGATTGCTCCACCGTCCCTGACGATTATGCTTCTCCCAAAATATTTGAGCATTTTTGTTTTATTTACTATTTATTATTTTTATGCCATCAAAATATTAGTTACTCACTGTTCGCTGTCGCATTCAGTTCTCTCACCTAAGAAAAAATATCATACAAACATGTTGCAAGAAAGCTCAAATTGTATCCATTGCTTAAAATGCATATAACTCTTGTTTAATATTTTTAGCATTGATTCTACCTGGAGTGAATAGTCAAACGCTGAAATATTACTTGATTTTGAGTGTTGAGTCTTTAAATAATATATAAATTTAGGCACTGCCTAAAAGCGGAGCCTCCAACAGCACAGGGAGCCCAATTTAGATAAAACTGAAAGATGAAAATAAAATCGGGCAAAAGATGTTCAATTTTTTCTCTCCTTCGAGATTAAGATAATGTCCCCCATAATGAAAACCATGAAGTGAAAAAATGAAATCGAAATGCATTACATCGTTTTCTTTGCACGGGTCTTTGTTTTTGACCCTAGTAATCTCCCACTTAGGTATGTTGTCCTATGTTTGTTCTTGAAAAATTCTTCGACAAAGCTTGGCATGGCCGACATTTTTACGCTTTGAATTCCTGGTTAATTTTACTTGAAAAACGAAAGATAACTACAAAAAAATCCAATAAAATGTCAAGTATAGTGAAATTTACAGKGGATGTCTTTCATTAAAATCCAAATTTCGGAGATYTTCTAACTTTTTATGGACAAATATGAACAAGGTCATAAGACAGACTAGAAAACTGCTTAAGAAAGGGTGAGCAAAATATAAGCTTACTCAGTTTACTTTTTTTACATGACGATGTTTGGTTATCTATATATGAAGAGTTATGTTTTCATAAGAACCGTATTTTTACCGCAATGTGAAATTAAGAAAATTAATGCTTTGGTAGCATCAGAGAGAAAATTGGCTGGAGATCATTAACTAACTTAACTTGTGAAATAAGGTCCTGAACGTTAAAACCAAATGTGTCATCAGTTAAAAAAGCTTCCTTAATATCCTAATACTTCATTATAATATTTTTATTCTTTCTTTTTTTTAAGCCTTAACTACTTTTCGATAAGCTTGAAAACTTAAGCCTGGTTCACATATGATCGCAGACGATCGCAGAGGATCGCTGGCGATCGAGTGCGATTATATGTGAACAGCTCTGCGATCGTCTGCGGTCGTCTGAGATCGTCTGCGATCGCGATCGCAGACGATCGCAGGAATAGAATCGGGTTCTATTCCTGCGATCGGTTGCGATCGGTTGCGATCATATGTGAACCAGGCTTTAAACYGTTAAAAGATTTTGAGATTCGATTCATTACCAGTTTTCATCTGTTTCCATGCGTGAGAAAGATACGGAACTCACGAATCACAAATGTTTTCGAAAAAACAAAGTTTATATTCAGTTAAACTTGACAAGAACAACTGAGACAACATAGAAGATAATTCAAAATGCAATGTCAAATACAAAATGACGAATTTCTTTGTCAGTAAATTGGCATTTGTATTTCAATAATCATGATAGTTCGAATAGCTTAATAAACAGTTGAATATCTGGTGTAATTTCATTAAATATCATATTAAACTAAACAAATTATCTGTAGAAAGATATAAAATTATTGAATGAAAATCTTCTTTGGTTTGCCGATGGGACCCCGCGATAGGAGGCGAACAAAGCTGCAATTTTCTTGAACAAAAAACATACGATATTTGGCTAAAAACAACAGAAGTAAAAAGCTGAATAAAGAACGAATATTTGTTGTAATATGTTCTTCGTGTTTTATTTCATCCAGCATTAAAATAAATTAAGGTTATCGATAGAAATATTAAAAGTTTTGAGAGGAAGTCTTTCCTAATTTGTCGATTCGTCGAAAAAATATGTTTGTCATATAACAAATAATAATATACGATTGTTTGCTAAAAAATACACACCTGAATTCTTGAAGAACACTTCTTGATCCATCTTTGACTACATGAAAGTTTTTTTCAATTTGTTTTGGTCTATAACTTGTYCTAAAGCGATTTTTTTTTCTTTACATTTGAGAGCCGCATTTGCTAGTACTTTGCTTTGACGTCAAGCGGGATCCCTGTGTTGTGTACACGGCCGTACGTATGTACGTACGTACGTACGGACGGACGTGACGTCAGGCAAGCCATGAAAAATTAACTCGATGGTTTACCATTTGTTCTTAAGTATGGTGCTCCGCTGTAATTCAAGTATGTTTATAAATAAGACGTCAGCTTAGGCATTTGAGTGTATTTGTTGTAACAAGTATTAACAATTTTGTCCATTACGAGAAACCAATTTATAATAACKTTCAAGTATACCATCAGTAAAGTAATGAGGATTTTTAGACATTTTTTGAGTRAAAGAGTAAAATTTTATGAAGCCTACTCTGACGTCATAGATAACATATTGAAAGTACAAGCTTTATAACATAAAGACGCAGCAATCAAACGAAAAAATATTTCACCAGTAAACTTCACTTTAGCTCACTTAAAGAATCAATTAAATAAATACTGATAATATTGAAACAGGTATAATAACCACTTTCAGCTTATACAGAATCCAAATACACAAGTGAAGCGTTCAATTTTAAGATAACTTACGTTTAGTGTTATTTTTCCCTCTCCATATGATGTAACCAAGAAGCAAGGTGTTTAAGGTAAGAATAATTCCAAGTATAACAAACCCTGTTATAATAGTACCTGAGGCAACTGTGAATAAGATTTATAATTACCATCTGTAATTGAAACGTTTCAGCATCAAAACATCGGAAAGTCAAGGGTGGTAAAGCAGTAGTGCCCTCTCCCTTCAATTCTGGGTCTCTGACATGTGAGTAGACTTTTGTCACGAGCAAAGTACGCCTTCTCTGTGTATCTCTACTGGCGCGCGACGGACGTCCCGCGACTTTGTGGCTCGCTCGGTGCGTTCGACAGTTTCTTGCCGCGCTCTACAACTTTTCGCTGCGTTCGAATGGACTACTCTCGCAGGACTCAAGAGAGGTTGACTTGGGGCAAGTCTTGGTTTAATCCCGCTACTTAGTTGCGGTGCCCTGACTTAGATTAGCCCAGAGGTTGTTTCAGGGTTCTATCTGTGAGTTAGCCATGTTCTGACTTTAATTAACTCAGAGTTTGTAATCAGGATATTCCTTTGTTTGTTACTTCCGTTCTGTTAGTTTAATCTTAGCTTTGCGTCGCCGATAGAATGCGATAGATTGGCGTAATATAGTCAAATTTTATAAATGCAGTTAGTGTTCACTTGGAGATCGAAACATACCGGAGTTCGTTTGTGCGGCTCCAAGGCCGTTGTTATTCAAGTCTTTTACATTTATGATAAGAGTAGTGGAGTTAGCCATTGGATGATTCCCTCCATCAGAAGCCTTTATTATTAAGACGTACTGATCTTTAGATGCTCGGTCTAAAGGCAATTTTATAGATACTTCTCCTGTTAAGCTGTCGATCGAAAATAGACCTACGAAGGCAAAGAAAAGACAATAAAAACAGAATGTCTCAGTCTTTTACTAATTTTAACTGAAATAGAGTGACTATTTTACCGAGTACAGTGCCTATCTTGAAATTTATTGTTTGAATTACGACATAATGGGATGCCGTGGGCAACCATCGGAAAATTTGTAGACTGTACAGCTTTCATGGTGTTTTTTAATCTAACATTATGCTTTTTGATGAGAATCACAATCCGAGCAATAATCCGAGAATAATACTCAAGACTACGATGCGCGGTATCACTGAAATGGGGATTATTCACGCCTGTAGAAAAATGGTCAAGTGTTAACTAACTTCCTTACCCTCGTTGTTCCCAGATATTATAGAGTATCGAACTGTGCCATTCGATCCAGCATCTCGGTCAGTAGCAGACACTTTGAAAAATATTGAGCACAAGTTTCTGTTGCTTGAGATGCTGACACTGTATGGAAGAGATCCTACGAACTGTGGTGTATTATCATTGACGTCCAGCACTTTCAAGGTTACCTGGGGTAGAAACAAACCCGCGGGCATATCTAATAGTGATCGACTACAAGGATTTATTMTTTTGAGTATTATGGTAAATAAGTGCTGTAGTCTGTGATGATTAAAACTTCATTGTATTTTTAGTCTTATATTTCTGTATATTTAATAATCATTTCCATAGGTTGTTGAAATAAATTTAGTATTCCTATGATTAGCGAATCTGGGAATCATAAACACTGAAACTGCCACCATGCACACGATACCTTATCCCTTTCAACAACAAAAAAAAAGCAAATCACTGAATCAAACATTTGATGTTTGCTATATCTGTCATTGACGCTGAGATGCGTCAGCAACGCTTACTAAATTAAGTTGAGAGCACGTATGGTAAGAATTATGGTTAGTTTTTTATGCATATTAGTTAAAGTGCTGTTAACATTTGTCGATCATGCAAAAATCATCAATAAAAATTTACCATCGCAACTCCTTTGATTATCCCATATTTTTCGACTTGGATTTCAAGTCGGTATTCATTTCGAAGTTCCCTGTCCAGTGGTTGTGAACCAACTTTGAGCACTTTGTTCGCAGCATCAATCATAAAGTGGTTGAGGTCATTACCAGATATAAAAGAAAACGATGCTTCAGAAACTTTGTAATGCTGTTCTATGCTCTAGCGATACAAAAAACAATTATTATAACAAATACTATTTGTTATTCTGCCCATGTTTGTCGCATGGAGAATGACGCCCTCCAGAAATAGGTCCTATTTGATAAAAGGACCACCTCAAGAGTTTGGAAGCGAGTTGAGGATTTCCTCCAGATAGATCCAATCCAAGCCAGAAAAATGATGATGGACAAAACCAAGTTCAAACATCAGCTCAGAGGACGTTTCCCGGAGCAGTTGTGCCCTAAGGCCAAGGATGGGCCGAGAGGGAAAACCTGATGATGATGATGATAGTGACGACCGGTGACAGAACCAGCTGAACCTGATGATGATGATGATAGCATAGCCACGATATAACGCGGTTAATTAATGCTGTGCGTAAGCGTGCAAGAAGCTTGAAGTCGGCTTTTACGCTTCCTTTGAGCTTAGCAACCCCCCGCGTGCACCCAAAACTTCATGGAAGCACGCCAGTTAATGACCAATCCTTTTTTCGGAAACAGTTTCAACTTAATATACTGAATATACTTAGGCACTATAATTCCCAGAAAGTTAGTTACATAAATAACCTTTTGACATCTTGTGATTGACAAAGACACTTAATCTTTAACGTCATTCCATTCGGTAGAATATCGGACCAAACGTTGATGGTTGATTTTTAAATGGCATTCAAGAAAAAATATATTAAAAAATTGAAGCCCAAATTTGTTCATGATATGCCGTTTTCGTTGTCGTTGTCGCAGCAAGCAATCCTTCAATAGACTCTTAGTCAGTGCATCAATTTATGAGCACGAGTCTTCTAACAAGATATATCTAATTAACGTACTTCCCATRAATCCAATTCGGTCTCAGCTGTTCTCTATGTTTCTTAACCCGTCATTTTTACTAAGATCCCTACCTGGTTGATCTACTCCTGTAATGGCATACTTCACAGTACCATTCAACCCCTCATCCACATCTGTTGCTGTTATCCTCAATAAACTGTGTCCAACATCGGCATCTTCTCTCACTGAAGCATTGTAAGGGAGATCACCTTGGAATGACGGCGTGTTGTCATTGATGTCCAGGACATTGATGGTAACCTTATTGATGAACCGAACATTTCAGCTGAGCTACTTTGTTTTTCTATTTTGGTACTCAACGTATACCGGCATGCGTCAGGCTTGTTATCTTAACTTTAACTTATTTTCTTTTATTTCTTTACTTAACTTACTTGACATAAATCCTTGCTTTCTACATGCATGTTTCACGTTCTCTGCTTACATATGGTGCAAGACGTGCATTAGTACTTTTTGCAATTTATCGCCTGGTGATTTTAGTGATGTTGTGAGATATAAATGCTAGATAAGCAGTTTGGTTCATATATTCTCCCCCACAGCCGCTTTCAGTGTCGTCACGCAACGCTTTCTCCCCTGAGTAGCTACTCAGGGGAGAAAGCATTGCGTGACGACACTGAAAGCGGCTGTGGGGCAGACTAGGTTCATAGGGATCTTGTCTTGTTGTCAACAACGAAATACTTCGTTTTTAAAATTATCTATGACTTCATAAAAAGGTATTGCAAATATTCATTTTATGAATCACAATGTCTTTTCGAAAGGTACTTTTAGAGCTTTTACATGAACTTGTAGAATGTTCAACGAATACGTTTACATAGTAGATATTCAATACTTTTGCTCTTAAGAAGGGTCAACGACAGGTATTTTTTTTATTATTATTTATTATTTAATAAAATGGTAAAAGATATTTATTAAGTTTTCATATCTATGAACCACAAAATCTTTTTGAATGGATTTTTGGGCAAAATATTGTCAAGTTTTTTTAGAGATCACGTAAAGCTGTGGAAGTGAAGACCGAAGAGCCGTCGTAAAAACTTTGGTTTGAAACTATATTTTCATACACTTGATGAGAGAAGTTTTTACATACCAATCGGGATAAACGTTTAATGTTTGATACAGCCCGGCAAGAAGGCATCAGCAAGGAGGCTCAAAAAATATGGTAAAAATACTCGGAGATGATTACACAATTTATAAGAGTTACTCTATTTAAAATGTAAGAATTTCGGCCAATAAATTAGGAAATTCGACGAAAGTTAAAATGATAAATTGATTGATGATGAAGAAGACACAATTAGATGATGCTGATGACGATTCCAATGAAGCAGTAACTATTGAAATGATGCCAGATCATGAGACTAATATTGTAATAAATCTCAATGACGATGATGATGTTGTGATCGAGATAGAGGATGACGTTAAAATGAATCGATGTACTGTACTTCTGTTTAAAACGGTGATGCTGATTGTAACAATGATGAAGCTTGATATTTTTAGTTTTATGTATATAGCTCTTATTAACCGAGTGCGAGGTCCGTACCGTAAGTTATGGACCGAGTTTTTTTCCACTGCCTTATGGCCCTAGAGTCGTCCCTTGTATGAAAGAGTTGTCGCTTGTTTGATAAGTTTTATATTAAATGCCATTGACTTTAACTTATCTTTAATTATTTATTGAAGGTTTCCCGACGATTTTCATCCAGAAATATATTTTTTAAATGAAGATTTGAATGTTTTAAAAGATCATAAGTACGTACACTCAGTGAACCATTTCATTTTTCGGTCCGTACCGTAAGTTATGGACCGCAAATTGACCAATCATAGCGCGTGAAATTACCTTGCCATATAATAAGGAGCATTATTTAGCGTAACTTTTATGAATTGAATTCAGTTGGAGACATCTCGCTTTGCACTTTTTATCGTTATAGTTACCATAAAATTATGTCTTAAAAAATCAACATATATATAGCGGCCATGTTGGTTGAATATACAAAGCAGTAGCTTCATTAGCTTCTCTTGTTGGATCAACCAAGATGGCGGCTGCTTTATTGAAATTTATATCTCAAAGAATTTTGAGCCATGTGGTTGCAGTCCAAGAGTATTGAATATCTAATCCTTACCATAACCACTCCTTTTCTTGTACCACCTTTATCCAGCGCAATATTCAGTTGGTATTGGTCTCGAGTCTCTCTGTCCAACGCTACTCCCCCAACTTTAAGGTTTTTGCCGTCTATGGAGAAGAGACTAGATTGTGCACTAGATATGATAGAGAACGTTCCTACGGTAACGTTGTAGTACTGTTCTGCAGGCTGCAAAGAAAAGAAATGTCACAAGTGTTGCTATAGGGATCTGATTTGCCATTCTTAAGATAAACGTGATGCCATGTTAGTTGACTTTAACGAAAGATCGTTGGTCCAGGAGCCCATTCCCCGGAGCGTACAACTCACGTATTCTTTCCTTCGCAATTATCGTTTTCCCAGACCACCTATATATATTTATAACGGCTTTCACATCCCTCGAGAAATAGAGAACTGGTTATCAGTAAAAATATGAAGACAGCCATTGTCATATCTAGCTTTATATATATATATATATATATATAATCCCTAAATCTTTGACACTTTAAAGATATATATACATATATGTGTAACCCCCTTTTTTCTATTGTCATAMCTGGATTTTCAAGGAAAGACAATAGGAAAAAGGGGATACATATATATGTATATATATCGCTAAATTGTCAAAGTTTTAGAGATTCGGTGTATATATATATTTTTTTTTTATTATTTTTTTATTTTTTTTTGACATGAAAACAGTGCATTACACGATTACACGAACTAAGTTATGTTTTTTCTACACTTACTTCCAAATTCAAAATGACCACATTACTTAGTCCTTCASCTACAGTGTATGACATGTTGAGCATTGCAGCAACTGTTATATTGACCACGGTGAATGCAGGAGGATTTTTGGTCGAGGTGGCCTGAGAGAGCAGTAACACGTATACTTTTTACACACTAATGATAAATTTAATGTTTAAAGACGGAGCCTAGATAACAAAAGTGGTAACAAAAATATATTACTAAATAGGCAATAATGAAGAATTATAAAATAACTGTTATGAATGTCGCGTTCTGATTTGTTTTGGAGCGCGTGCTTTATGAGAGCACATTGCAAGCGCGCGCACTTTCCGTTGCGTCATTCCTATCTATCATTGTAATTTTTATTTTATAACAGAAATAAAAAACTTGCTTGCTGTGCTGTGTGCAATCATAAAGCACTTGGGGCTTGGCAGAACACTCGAGAAGTGTCGAGAAGCACTCCGCTATGCGTCGTGCTTCTTCTAACACTTCTCTCGTGTTCTGCCAACCCCCGCGTGCTTTATGACAGCACACAGCACGCGCGCGCGTTTTCTATTTCTTCAATATTCCTTTATGGAACACAAATCACATTAACCGTTATTGTAGATAGGAATGACGCAACTGAAAGTGCGCGAGCGTGCTGTGTGATCTCATAAAGCACGCGCTCACAACCAATCAGAACGAGATTCAAAACAGCTCACAACCAATCAGAACGCGAGATTCAAAACAGTTATTTTACAAAAAGTTGGAAATTCTAAAAATATACATATAAACAAATACATGTCCTATTACAATATAATATACAGTATTGAATTTCTAAGAACATCTAATTAATGAGATTCTTTCAAACGAGCTTTCTTGAAAAGAAATATGTTTCTTAGAAAAAATGATACGGAATGAACCTTTGTGGATTGAGGATGATTTCAAGGGTTGGTCATTTACTAGAATGTCAGTATACATATATTTCAAAAAATGTCGAATGCTGCATTCTAAATAGCAAAATGCAGGTTTAGAATATAAATAGGTTTAGAATTAAGCTAAAATGCAAATAAAACCATTCTGTACTTACATAAAATAGAAAATATTGTATACATTTTCTAAAGCATGTACTTTTAACCTGGAATAGACCCCTTTCGAATTCAAAATTACCGCTTTGTTTCTTGATTACAGACTTATTTGCACAGGGTCAGCCTCGAGTTTGTTCAGAATATTCACGTGTTCCAGTCAAGGTCCGTCGAGTTTCAAAATGTTTGTATTGTTGAAGTTGTGCATTCTTTACTTTTCTGTTGGTATTTGTGAATATTTAAACAATGATACGAGGCTAACCCTGTGCAAATGAGTCTGTAATCAAGGAACACAGCGGTAATTTGGAATTCGAAACTGGACTATTGGCTTCCGAAAGCTATTCACTATACACTATTGAGTATGCAGTATTCGACATTTTTTGAAATAGCTGAATAACTTCCTCTTTAGATTTTACATTACTCTTCAATTTCTATTTCTAAAACTTGGGGTAGCTGACCACATGTTCCACTCCCTCTGAACTCAGTCTTAAAAATACAAAACATCTTACTCGATGTTATGAGTTCACCTACATACCGTAACGACCAGGAGCTGCGTTCCAATGGTCAGCGGTCCATTGACTGTTATCTCTCCTGTGTTGTTATTTACCTTGTACACGTTACCAGGATTCGTTTCTGATGGACCAAGATGAATTCAATTAGTATTAATAGTTTGCAGATAATTGTCAGTTACTGGAATTTGAAGGATATCTTCATCTTTAGAAATACCTTGATATATCTTGTATTCTACAGTAGCGTTAAAACAATCCGCATCTTTAGCCTGGACAGTCATCATCACGGTACCCTGGTATGAACCAATAATCAAAATCAGACACTCAAACAATTAAATTATAAGAAACATATTCACGATATTCAAAGATTTCATATGAAATGGAAAAAAGCCAAAAATTAAACTGAGCTCTCTGATAGGTGATTATCAGATGGGCGGTCTTAAGCTACCTGACTTTGAATCTTTTTTGAAGGCAAGTCGAGTTAAGCAAGCTAGCGATAGATTGGTTATTTATCTCGCGAGACATGCAAACGAACTTTAATACCCTCTATTTTTTCTAGATCCTTTTGGGGGTTAAAACATATGCATGAAAATTTTGATCCGGATAGAATTCCCAAATTTCTGCCGCCATTTTATAAAGAAATTTTACAAAATTGGGCAGAATTTACAAAAGTGGATCCTAGTGAGGACATATCGATAATACTCGAACAACATACACCTACTGGCAAGAAGTTTGTCATACAAGAACAGAACATTTGTAATTTAGTAAATTAGTGATTTAGTAAATTTACTGATTAGGAATAAATTATCACTGACGTCAGACTAACTACTAACATATCAGAAAACACCAAGCAGCGCTAGAATTCGTAGTTTTAGTTACGTTAGTTTTCCCAGTCTAAAGGGAAATTCTTTTAGCATTCATATTATGTCAACATATGTCGTCCAAAATTATCTTTTTCTTACTGATAAACTCGAGTCTGACGTCAGTGATAATTTATTCCTAATCGGCAATTTTATTAAATCACTAATTTATTAAATTACAAATGTTCTATTCTGGTAGAGGGGATGCAATTAAACCGTGAAATAATATCAAACTAAACACTAACTAATAGTATCTATTTAGTGACTAATAGTCACTATTACTTAACCAGAACATTCATACAAAGGACCAATACACAAGAGACCATTTGAGTCTTTTGTTTAATAAATGTTCTGGTTGAGTAATAGTGACTATCAGTCACTAAATAGATACTATTTGTCAGTATTTAGTTTGTTTCCATTTCACGGTTTATTTACGTCCGCTCTATGACAACCTTTTTACAAGTAGGTGTATATGGAATAATAAATACATCAAAATTGACAACAAATCTATATTTTACAAGGTTTTTTCGAACCTATATTAATAGAGTGAGTGATAATAATAATAATATAATAATAATATAATTTATTTATATAGCGCTCATCTCCAAAATTGTCCAAGGCGCTTCACAAAAAATT